GGCTTGTTTTACAACGTCGTTGCCAAGCGACGAAAACCCAACCCCGATGGCAAACACCGAGGGGGGGGGGGTGGGCGGCTTGTTTTACAACGTCGTTGCCAAGCGACGAAAACCCAACCCCGATGGCAAAACACCGGGGGTGGTAGTCCTTGGGGAGGGCAAAATCTCCCGTACCTCGATTTATTTCATGTAGTATGGTGTTATCTAGGCCTTGGTGTGGTAGGAAAGAATTTACAATGGCATCGGCACACATCTGGCTGTGTGCCCATCTGCCGCCTCTTTGTTCTGTTGCCTCCATTACTCCCATGCCCTGGTTGGTGCGTAGTGCCTGGTGCTGGTACGTTACCCTTGATTTTTCTGGCGGGTGTGGGAAGCTTTTTTTGTTCTGTTTTTATTTGATCGGTTTCCGAGGGCTCTTTTCTCGACCGCTCGTTGCGGTAGCTGTTCTTTTCATTCCATTTTAGACTATTTTGCTTTCTTTTTCCGAGTGGTTTGTACCCTTTTTCTGTTTTGTTTCCCCATGCGGCGTCGTATGTGCAGGGTTGTTGCGACCACGGGCTCCCCATTTTTGCGGAATATGAATAAAGCTAGTGTGAGAAAGAACAACACAACAAAAAAATGCACATAACGTGGACTGTAGGGTCTAATCCAACATAGCTCAAACAACGCCTCCCATGTGTAGCTCCCTTGTCTTAACAATGAAATATCTCAGGTATTACTATGCATATAACTATGGGTCTATGCGTAGACTATTCCGCCAACAATATCCGCCAATCAAAGTGCAAGCCGTGAGCGAGTGCCCAACTCGAACAGCCCACCAGACGCGAGCCCTGCCTCTACCTACCACGGCCCACCCGATTGCTCGCTTGTCTGTGGCAGGAGATACCCGAGCCACGAAAACAGCACCCAGCGGGTCTTCGACGTTATACATCTTTGTAGGGAATAGGGAAGTTCCACGTCAGACTAGGGTGCTACCGTCTGTTCATCAGAGCCAACAAACAGAAACAAAGGTCCGACATACCAACTCGATACCGCAGCTCCTCAGTCTCTTGGTACAAGTGAACTGACTTAAATCACACGAAATCAACACCGACCTGGGATGAGCGCCTGCTGGCACAACCACCTCCGAACAAGAACTCGTACAGCTACAGGAGTAACATTCATCATGCCGCAACCTCTCCGTAAGAGCACAGCAGGAGAATCAGTAACCAGAGGAGGACTGACGTCTGTGCGCCCAGACCGAGAAACGAAGTTCGTACATGTCACCACCAGATGCACCACCAGCAGAAGCACGAGTCATTGTACGGTCCTGCTCGCAGCCGCAAGGCAGGAGGATCGAAGAAAAAAGGAGTTTCAACACCATCCATGCTCCTGCCGTTCAAAGCCTCGCAAGCCAGCAACTCGAGCGGCAGCAGCACTCTACGCGTTACTCTCTGTTGCCGTAACAGGAGCACTAGGATCTAGCTCCCCCGTCCTCTCCGCCTCCAATACCTCCTTGAGGTCCTTGAGGCAGAGCTGGTACCGACCGGCTAACGGAAGGAGGCGGGATTGATCGGCGGGGGACGAGTCCAATCGCACCCTTTTCTTATCGATGCCCGAGCGCATCTTGAGAAACTGCTTCACCTGTCCCTTCTTAGTGATGGTGACGGCAGTGCCCCGAGATCCCGCCCGCGCTGTGCGTCCCACACTGCCACCAGGCAAACGTGGGCGAAACACGCAAGCGGTATCAGACTAGTATATTGGTGCGATTTTCTCCACATACCATTCCGCGAGCTTACCGGCTGATTAAGAGAAAGTACGTCAGCCCAAGGGTACACGCGAAAAAAAAACTCCATACACATAAAACTGTTGAACCCTCCGTGGCTCCTGGGGGAGAGATGTTGCATTGTTGAGAGACTGTGTGTCCGGAATTGTTTTCGTGTGTACCCTTGGTCAGCCTTGTATCGGGATAAAAAAATCGCTGACACGTGCTGGACTTCGCGGACTAGCCTGAAAACGGGAGCCCAAGGGGCACACTGCATATGATATGGACAAATACCATTACTAGCATGAGATTTAAGTACGCAGATACATACACCTACACTTGTGAATACGGCTTATAGATGATACTAATACCTGGTATACAATAGAGCATGGAGGTCAAAGCATGACAACACTAAATCTCATACGCTACATGCTGAAACCAAACTGGAGGAAGAGCGCAAAAACCCGGGGAAAGGGGTAGCCGCGCCCGCAGTACTTTGCTTTCGTGCGCCCCCTTTTGGGGGGGGAAGACGTGGAGGAGGCTGGGCAGATCTGTCCAGCCTCTTCAGAGTACATAAGAACGGAAACGGCAAAAAACCATCACCACAAATGATGTACAGCTGGGGGCCCTCGACAGGTCAAGCATGTGCCAAGCGCTTTCACCCGCCCAATAGCGGGCACCCGCACGATCCCGTCTGTGCCAGCCAATTTC